TTTTTAAGAAAGCCTTTTAATTTTCATTTCAGGCTCGACAAAGGCGCTAAGCGCCGAAAGCTCGCCAAAAAGGCCTAAACTTTTGCAAAACTTTTGCAAACACACATTTTTGCAATTTCTTTTGTAGAAAGTTTTGAGTCTTTTGCAATAAATTTTGAAGTCTCACATTGTTTTATACACATTTAGCTCTCAGTATATTGTTAATAAGAACTTTTTTTTCGAGAAATGACTTTATTAGCTAGGGAAATCTAATTCTCCTCCAAAGTGTAGCGATATTCCAGCTTCGTGGTATATGCCACTGTTTGGCTAGCACTGTACATTATGACAGGGAATGCTGGAATTCGACGAGAGTACCTTGCCGGCGTCATTTTGTGAGCAGAATCTAAAAAAATGTTTCAAGAAATCTATCATGCTTTAATTACCATTATGAAATCATTTGTTGAGGCATCCGTAACTTGATCTATTTCTGCTTTAGTTACACCTAAGGTTCCCTTAATTTTTTAAATCTGAATGAAAAGCTGACTTCTTCTTGAGATCTCGTCTGAAAAGAGTAGCTAAGACCCGTTCAGTATCCTCAAACGGAACCTAAACGATGAGTCATGTCCCTACTGCCTATACTTCGTAGAACGGGTAACCTGTAACCCGCGTGCGCCGTTTATCTTAGATGAGTGCTTTGATTTGCAAACGCCGGCATAAATGCAACCATCTTTGGAAAATATGGCAGGAAGTTCCGCAATTTTCGCCTCTGTCTTTGCATTCTTTACATTGTGCGGCGGCGCCCAAACATCAATGTTTCCATCTGAGATAAAACTAATTCTATCAATTCCTATAAAGTCGCAGACCTTGATCCAAAGGTGCACCTTTTATAGTCGTCTCGCTCCTCACCCTCTCTTTTCCAGTGTCTAGAGTGTTTTCGAACGTTACCCAATCGTTTTTAGCCTCCAGTTCTTTACCACATTTGGACGGTTGAATCAGTTTCTCGAAATAAATCGCCACAATGAGCTAAAAACGTCCAATCACCTTCTCATTGCATAATTGGCCCATCGAATCCGCTGGGACAAATAAATTTGTTGCAATAACGAGGATGGGCAAATCACGTCGTTCTGGCAAGTTGGTTCCTCATTTTTGCAAGTATCTAGAACATTATCGCTTCTTGACGTTCAGATGTCACATGTCTTTCAAATGTTTCCCGTCATACAGCTTACCAGGGCAACCGTAAAACATGCTCATCATGAGTAGATCGTAAAATGCAATGATATCAGATCCAAGAGTCTCCGTATATTACCATCTTTAGCTTCCATAACACGCCTGTTGTTCGTTGATGGCAGCGATAGGGCTGGAAACTTATTCACTTCAATTTTGCAGGTTCTTCTCTATTGTGTTCTACCTTCTGGATCCGTAGTGCATTATGCTACCGTAGTTGTACGTCAGATTATAGTTGCTAATGTCTGCCCTGTTCTGCTTCTCAAAATCGGAATCCAGTAGGCTGAAGAGGTATGCGTTATTATGATCCTTTGACAGACATTACCTTAATATTATTTTCGTTGAGGGTAATGAATTCGTCACGGTGTACCTTGCCTGTGTATGGAAGAATCCAAGTACATGGCCAATTTCGTGCGCAGCGATTCCCACCTGCAGCAGAACGAAAAATTTTTTGGCAAGTTTGCTGCTAGTCATACCCTTCATAGGAGTTTGAGTATAACAAAAAGGAAGGCTTCGAACTCATACCGATCCACAGCCTTCGCCAAGTGTGAGCATCTGAGGACCTGGGTTTGGTTTCCAACTAGCGAAGAGCATCCTCTTCCATTGGCTACAATAAGGAAGTCCTCTGCTGGAACAGATACCTTCAGAAATCTTATTGGAACGGCAACTCGTTCATTAATTCACTCTACTTATTCCTTTTCATTTATTCGCTGAACTTTCGACGCGTTTGTGTATTTAGCCTCAAAGTCCATAACTGCTCAAGCATAGGTTAATCAACGTTCACAATGGCAGATTGTGAACGTGAAGGCATTTTTTGGCTAGCAAAATACAATTCAGATAAATGCTGATGGTGCGCTCAGATTTGAGATGTACGCGCTTTTGTGAGTGTAGGGTTGATTTTCGTCTTTATCGGATCAGGGTATTCTTTGCAGTCAATGCACGTGTCGTCCATCCATAGTTGCGATGCCTTCTTGAAGGCCTCCTCGCGCTTATTGTCTAAAGATAGTGGAGGAATTTCTGGTAACTTCTCGCTTGTGTGTGCAGAGAACTGAGAGCAACTGACCTGGAGGTATAATATGTAGGGGACCGTTTTATTCGGCCATCGTCTATTAAGATCAATCATTGCTTGCCGTTTGGATCGGATTCCTACTTGATCCTGCTGTTCCCTTAATGTGATATCAAAATTCCGCAAAAAAGTTTGATAATCTATTCAACAAACTTTGTGAGGACAATGTCTCCCTGGTATAGTGAGCCAGCAACTCCGCTGTTCTTGTTGATTTCTTCAATCGTGTCTCCCATTTTACGTTGCTTTTCGTCGTCACTTCTTCTCTAAAACGACTCAGACTACGATTGAATACCTAATTAAAATTAGAAAAGAGTCTTCTATGAATTAGTCTACTTACTATGCGTCTTTCGAGAAGTTCTTGTCTTCTCTCTGGAGTGGCGAGAAGATACGATTTGTGTTGCTGCCCCAGCAATCCATTCACTCGTGCAGCAACAAGTACAGCATGTACAAGAACTCGCATCTGCGGTATAGGGCTGAAAACTTTCAATGGAGCTGAAGGATGCGGTTGCTTCTCTCTTCTCGCATTTATATAGTGCTTTTGTTTTACAGTTTACATATGGTTGCGAGGTGGCCACAAAAAAATCTACAGTTTCAGCTGTTGCCCTGTCTGTCTCTGCAGTGATATGTAATTCATACATGTTGTGAAGTATCCTTCTATTTTATAAAGCGCTAACTTTGTGTGTCGGTTTGTATGTCTGTATGTGTGTGTGTGTATGTATGTATGTGTGTCCGTCCGCAAAATGAAGTGGTAGGGAAACTCGTGAAGTAAACAGACCGTTAACAAAATCGAGTAACTATGACTTTAGCAATCAATGTTTTGCAGTGCTATCAATGTGATAACACCCCAACGGCTATATAAACACCTACTGAGCATGGTCTCATTCATTCCACATGATGCTGCAATAGCAGCTGGAGAGCAGTAGAGGGAATAGGATAAGATGGAGAAGGGCGAGGGGAGCTAACCGCCAAAAGACCTGAGGTCCAATTAATATCATTCTAAGGTCATGTCACGATTACGGTAATGCCTTCTACTATATAAGACACTTTTTTGTGCATGCGTGCCACCTCCACGAGGTGTCCATGTCACCAGTGGATGGGAGCACATTGGAAGGAGTAAAGCTTACGCAGGTAAGGAGGTCCCGGTGGTTGCCGGGGGACCAATCTGGTACTGTAAATGCCGTTATGAAACGTAATCGTTCAGTGACTTTGTCTTAAGCGCAAGCGTTTCAAAGCGTTTCAAAGAAAACGAAGCAAGCTTCCAACGAAACGAATAGCTTAGATTTACAAGAAAGATTATTTGAGGTGCGGTGCCACCCAAGTATTCTCTGCTTCCGGAAGTGAATTATAAATAAGGTGAAGGTATTCTCATAACTCCGAGTACTCATGCTCGTGCGAGTACACAAACCTCATGCTATTCTCGCAGATTCCCTTCGGATGAACTGTTGAAGGAGGTCATCGCTTCAAAGGCAGTGAACATATAGCTGGAGCGTCGAGCGCTTTTGGTGACTTGTCAGGGATTACTGGTGGACGAGCGTGCTACCTACAATAACGTTTTGTTTCATACGACAGAGTGTCGTAGGGCAACAATAAAAGGAAGGAATCTACCGCACGACACGAAGCCAGCCTCTGAGGCTGTAAAGGAGACCGGCTAGTGTGAGATATTGTAGTGAAGCCTTGTACCAATTTATGTTCTCCTTATCAAGACATGTTCCTTCTCGTATAGCTCGCAAAGCTCTGCCGTAGTGTTTGAGCTGGATCCTTAGGAAAGGACAGGCAGCTTCTGCACAGAGAATGGAAAATGTGTGACTTAAGAACATTGAGCTTACGTGCTGCTTTGGCTCGCAGCTGCTGCAATTATTAGTTGAGCTCCTGACTGCCTATTCGCACCAACATGGTAAACGCTGGATTAGCGACATCGCATAAGGCGGGATGCTGGCGATTCGTTGCCTTGCAGCTTTTTAGAGTAGTAAATCAAGATATTCACGCGAAAGATTTTTGGCCTTGTTTCTCTGGGCCCTTTCCAAAATGAGTCCGAAATGTCGCCATAAAATAAGAAAATGGGATACGGAGAGCGCGTGCGGCTACTGTTTTGTTTCAGCAACCAAATATGCAGTGTAGCATTTTAAGATGTCTAGCGACTCCTCCCTGAGACCATAGCACCTTGCCTAGCTGCTTCGTCTCGAGTTTTGCTGTCTCCTGCTTTCTGAT